GTTCCTAATACGTGATTATCCCTTGAAGGCACATATGTGTCCAAAGCATGTACTGCACATGCAGCTTTAACCTGACCTCTTTGGTCTTGAGCACTATAGTCCTTGGTGATGATCACCTACCCCATTGTTTCTCAAAAGTTCAATATGCCATTTTCTCTCCAATTTTATTTGTGTCTGTATTACATTTTTGAGTCTTGTATAATTGAATTGAATTTTGTTTTGATAATAGTGCACTAGATCTGTTGTCTTGTGGCCAGATCCTGAGCATTTCCTGTCCAGAACTTTGGATTTAGTCATTACACTTTTTCTGTGTTTAAGTTCTCTTCTCTCTAAGGTCTACAGCTTAATAATTTTTTCAGCAACCCTGTACTATATACATTTAAGAGGATTTATTTTACTTTTGCAGACATCTGTACCTATGTGCAATAATTAATCATGTTAAATGTCAGATGCTGTAAGTCAGAGAAAACCATTCTTAGATGTATGTTAAAAACAAACTCACCTGAAATATGGTCCTTATTAAAATAAAGTGCATTTAAAATAGTTACAAGTATGGCTGCTTTTTCTTAGCCCTCCCCCTGCCAATTTCCGTGATTTCATAATCACAATCTTAGTATTAAGAAAAGTTTTCTTATTCCTTTGTTGTTGTGTAAGACACCTACACAAACAAGGGAAGTGACTGACCGACAATAGAGGGGCAACGATGAAATTGACTAAACAGTGTTGTCAAATATGAAAACAAAATGGAAAAAGTAGATGGGGGAAAAAGTTGTTTTCTCAAATCTTTTTCAACTATAGTAATCTTATTAGAATAAAACACTAAACTTGTATTCTTTCTTGTAATAATAGTTTAAGTTGTCAGTGTCTCTTTAACAGGATAGGACCAGCTCACCAACTGGTATATTTCCCTGACTTCAATGGAGTTATGGCAATTTATACTAGATGAGAGTCTAGCTATCTATTTAACAATTTCTTGTTTGGCTGTTTTTATGAGCTTAACCACAACTTCAGATACAAACAATGTGGGGTTTCAGTCTGGATCCAAATGTTGAATATTGTGGTTTATCCTATTCTGTGAATTATATGGTTTGTACATGCTCAAAGCATGTATAATATTGGTATCTAAACCTTCCAGCTTGTATTCATGAGGAAGGAAAAATGACTCCTGCCTTTTCCAAGAATCCCATTGCTGCTGGCAAAAAAAAAAAAAAAAAAAAAAAATTAAAAAAATTAATTGTTCTGCAAAAGTTTCCCTCTATTTTGAACAGCCCTGTAACTGGTTGAAAACATTCACATTTTATTTTTTTTAGTGGAAAAAGACACATTTTTTGCATATTTTTTCAACCAGCTCTTTTGTGGACATCCAAATCAGCTCTAACTAAATAAAATATTTTAATATAGCCCATTTATATCATTATTATTTTTCTGTGTAATGATGTCAAAAAGAGTGTGACATATAGAAAGCGCACAATAAAAAAGAACCCCCGATTATGTGGTTTATGCAAGTTATTTGCCTTAGCTGATAAAAGAGAGGGTGAAGGGCAGGAATGGTGATGCAAAAATGTGGGATGTTTTTGCAAAATGTCAATGTCCAACTTTTGGAAGCCCTGGAGGTTTGCTTATGGGTCCTATTTTAGCTGATGTTCCACAGAGATTTTTTTACATGCATTGTTTCAACTTTGGCTCATCTCTGTTTCAAATATGCTAAAGAGCACTTTTGTTTTTTCAAATCCTCTTTGGGTGGCAAACGATGTATACCACAGACTGGACATGATTTGTTTGACCAGTTTATTAGCCACTGAACTACACCTCCACATAAATGGTACATTAAACAACCTGCACCTCTATTACTACTTAATGTACCAGGGAGGACACCTATGGAGTGCTGCTCTCACAGTGGAAGTAACATATTAAATGTTCAATACCCCTAAGACATTACTATGTATTTTGCATAACCAAACTTTCCTCCCATCCCTCCCCCCCCTCAAAGAAAATTACCTATGTTTCAAGTAACTTAGGGGGAAATTACAACTGTCTCTCAAAAATTATGAGAATTCTCTGGTCCTAGTGTGCATTCCAGCTTGGCAGTGAGTCTACAGCTTATATAGAAGAAATTGGAAAAGTAGTCATGCAATGTAATGCCTCCCTGAACCCCTATCTGTACACTGTAAACTGGTGCAAAACCTCTACCACACTGCATGCTCTTCCCACATTCGTTCCCAAATGTATAATTGACACCAAGAATTGCACTACTAGTGCAACTGTCTTTTGTCAGCTGGTTTGTGGCTGTGATTTTTTTTTTAATTTTTTTTTGTGTGGCCATCTGGATGTGATTTTAGAGCGTAACCACATGCCTGAAAATGAAGGAATGCAACTGTTAGCTTCTTTTCTCTCCCTGCCATGCACACACATAATTACAAAGGTTACATTCCTTTGTTAAGAAAACATGATGCACTATTGTGATTATTTATTTTAATTACTGCTATTTGTTTTACAATACAACCTAGAAGGCCCAAATGAGATCACTATGCAATGCGGCAGGCAAACATATGATAAGAAACCATTCCTATCCCAGAGAACTTGTTTAAATAGATAAATCAGAGACAAAGCAAGAGGGGAAGGGATTTGTCCAAGGTCACAAAGCAGGCCAGTTATAGAGCCAGGAACAGAGCCTAGATTTCTTGAATCACCAGTCTAGTTCTCTTGAATCCAGGGAGAGGGGGACAAACAAAGGGGCTTTGCTGGGAGGGGATTCAGAGGATACTGGAGTAGTCAGAGCCATGACTCTGCCTTCTTTTCCTTTCCCCATGAATACCCATAGTGCACCCCACAAAGGTGACTGGATGCAAAAAGCAGAAATATACTGTGTCTTGTAAAGAGTTGATTCAAGATCCCTGTAGTGCAAAATAGAAGCTCCCAAGGAACTGAAATTCCAAGATGGTCCTGAGACACAATTATCTCCTGGTGTTGCTCCATATTCAAGACCAAGCCTAACGCCATAGTCTTCTAGCCCTGCTTTATATTCAGGACCAAGCCTAACACCATAGTCTTCTAGCCCTGCTTTAGTTTGCCTTAAAACCTTACATCCTTGTTTTCATTTTGCACTAACTTGTGTGCATTTTTTATTTCATTTTGTTTTGTATTCTGAAAATCATTGCCTATTGTCTCATTTAAAATAATTTTCCTTACAACCCTTTCAAATTTACTGTATTAAAAAAAAACCTTTCCCTGTTTTCCAGTTGTTATTTCCTTATTCTGAGTTATGATGCTCGTGGTACAAGAAGCATTACTTCATAGCACTGTGCGAATGTGAAATCTCATTCATTTCTGCTTTTCTAGATCATAGGAACATAACTTCTGTAACTAGGGAGCTACTATTTCTGAGGCTGTCAGACAAAAATAAGTAGGAATTCTGTTTATGATTTGTTTGCTTTGTGCCTGAGCTGTTCGCAAACTCAATTTCTATTGTAGCTATGCAGTAGTGTTAATGAGGTGTTAATGTGTTTGTCAGAGAGGTGATTAAAAGAAGTTTTGCTTTAATCAATGGTGTTATTTCCATTTTCTTTGTTTGTAGAGGCTATTTGCATCATAAGTGGTTGTTGGCTAGCTCCTGGGACTGGGACAACTTTAGAAAACAATGTGGGGTAAAACTCCCACTGACTTCAATGTGGCAATATTGATCCTTTGATTAGAATGTTTGAAGAGCAAAAACATTTTCCCAAGATCCTAGCAGTTTGAAATGTGTATAGTTAAAGTAGTACAACCCCTTAGAATGGATGCAGTTATACCAGCATATGGATATAAATATAGGGGAATAAGCTGCACGAGTATAAGGGTACATCTACACATCAGTGTTATTTCGGAATAACTTACGTTATTCCAAAATAACATAGTCTACATCTACACTAAAGACAGTTTTTTCGACATAATGTTGAACTGAAGGATTTCTTATTCCAACTCCTGTAACCTTCATTTTACAACAAGTAAGGGAAGTTGAAGGTAGGTGCTCTACTTCAGACTTCCTGTTGTGTGGACAGCGCCAAAAACCGAAACAAGGTATTTCGACTTAAGCTTCTTAATTGACATAGCTCAAGTTGCATAGCTTATTTTGGCTTTAGCCCTGCAGTGTAGACGTACCCTAACTGTGTTCACAATAGAGTTTGTATCTATTTTAAAATTGCATCCCTATCAGAAATTGTTAAATCAACACATAATCTGTGTGTAGCTAGGATACGACTTTGGAAGGTTATAAACATTGGGTAAGCATCATTAAAGTAAAAAGTCAAAACAAGGCATCTGAAGTATGATTTTTGGGATGACACAATGTGACCATCATCACATTTTACAGTTTTAAAAAAATTCCCTCTTATGTGTGATGACAGGAATATAATGTAATGAATACTTTACGTTATCTTATGCAATATTAATTGGAAGCTGGCTATTGTGATGTCTAAAATCAGGAATGATTCACACTGCCTCCTCCTTTATTGCTTGGAGCTGATCCTTGGGACCTAGAAACTGAAAGACCTATGGATTTTTGGTAGGGTTGTGAAAAGGAGGATGTCTTTGGGTTTTGTGTTAACTTGGGAAATTCTCCAAGTGAAATCAATCATGGAAGACAGCTTAGTTGAACTCAGAACATTGCCATTTTGTTTGAAAAATAACCTAATCTTTGTTCAGTCCACTCAGCATTAATGAAGCATATGTTTAGCATGTTTGAAATGGTTTCCTTTGGGGCCCTAGCAATAGGGGAAATGGATGAGATGCAATGGTCACAAAACCCACAAAATTCTGAGTTATTTGCAAGTAGGGAACTTGGAACAATCGATTTTTTTCAATAGTGGCATGTTACACTTCTACAGCAAACTGTATTTGAATTAAGTGTAGATGAAACTTCAGACTTGTCCTTCTTGGAAGTTAGAGATGAAAAAAGTATTGAGAAGCGAGAATGAAGACTCGGATGAAAGGGGTATTTCAGCTTGTCAATGTGGTGTGGCAGCAATGATTCCTGATTCTTCTCTCCAGTGGCCCAGATGTCAATCCCAGGACAGGCAGGCTCTCACAATTTTTCTGATAACGAAGGGGTAATGTATGAAAGTGAGAAGCTGTCATCACTGGGGAAAAAAAAGACCCGCTCTTAAAAAAGAAGCTGAGGGAAAGAAGAGAAATTTGCCGAAACCAAACATTAAACCAGGGTATATGTACACAGCAATCAAAGACGTGAGGCACCAAGCCGCGGAGTGTGGGTCAGCTGACTCTTGCCCATGGGGCTCAGGCTTCAGAGCTATAAAATAGCATTAATGCAGACATAAGGTGCGGATTGGAGTCATGTTTCTGAGACTCTAGCTATGTGTGTGGGGGGAGGGAGGGAGGCCGATCTCAAAGCACAAGTTCCAGCCCAAGCCCAAACATCTACACTGTGATTTTTGTAGCCTTGCAGCCTATATCCTGCAAGTGTGAGTCAACTGACCAGGGCCAGCCACTGCTGTACCACAAGTCTTTTTTTTATTGCAGCACAAACACATCCAACTAATTCTCTCCCAACTAATGTACTTTGGCAGCTGCTGTGGTTTGGTCTCTTGATTGCTTGATTTACTTTTACAGATCATTCCTGCAGCTCCTACTTTTTGTTAGAAGAGAAAATGAGACTGGGAGAAAGACGACACCCCCTCCCCCCACCCCGTCTGCAAAGGCTGCTGGTGTCAAAGCACAAACTTCTGTGTGGTCCTTTGGCCCTGGTCTATACTAGGGAGTTATTTTGAAATAACCCCTCTTCTTTCAAAATAATAAGAGGAGCATCCACATTACCAAGTCCGTTATTTCAAAATAAGGGGCTGGTTGTTACGAAGTCTGTACCCCTGCTTTCCTTGGGGAATAAGCTTATTTCAAAATAGTTATTTGGGGAGTAGTTATATTGCATTTAGTTGTTTCAAAATAATTTCCTAGTGTAGACAAGCAGAGTGTCTACCAAGCCCATTATTTCAAAATAAGAGGCTGGTTATTTTGAAATAATAACCCCTCCTTTCCATGAGGAAGAACGCTTATTTTGAGATTGCTTTTTCAAAATAGCGGTAGTCTGGACGCTCTACTACTGCTATTTCGAAATAATTATTCCCCAGAGTCATTCAGGGTAATTACTCCCCAGTGCTTCCTGGGGCTCTAAGACGAGATAGCACATGCACATTAAGGGAGCCTGCCTTAGACTATTTTCAAGGCTTTCTTGTAGTGTGGACACGCTATTTCAAAATAATAATTTCCTAGTGTAGACATGCCCCATGTGTTGCCTCTGCCCACAGCCAGATGGTGTTTATAGCACAATGAGAAAAGATAAGGGATATAGTTAAAGTGTTGCTGGGTATGGTGGGAGTTTAGTATAGAACTGTACACTGGACAGCTGCCTGACTCCTGTCCCAAGCCATGGTCAAGCAACCAAGCAAGAGGGGTAAAGGGGCAGGTGGTATAAAACACAAAAAGTCAAAGAAATGATGACTCTGACCGAAACACAATCGTATTTCTTACCTCTTCCATGAAGCCCCCAGACTCAAAGCCCTCTGAAATGGAACATGACCCTCAACTGCAAAGGGTGACGCCAAGGTCATGCACTATAGATGTAATTAAGCCTGCCAAGGAACAGGGTAGGAGTGAGGGGAAAAAAGTTCTATTGGTGTACAGTGCTGTGCATTATTCTTGCTTAGTAAGCCCATTGAACATTGCTTTGCCTGCATTTTGGACTCTGGCCTTCTGCTTTGTGTCTGGATGTCAAGGTCCAAGGGAGGGTTTCTCACTCCATTTTCCCATCTGTTGTTTCCATGGTTGAAGCTTCGGCTTTGGGCAAAAAAACTGGCAGCTTTTAAAAACCAAACCAAATGCCTTTCTAGCTCTGTCTTTGAGGCGTACAAATGTGCTCTGTGTTGCACTGCTGTGGCTTATTTCTTTCTTTGCAGGCAGAGTTCAGAGGACTCTGAGTTGCCTTGGATAAAATGTGTGTGTTAGACTGATTATTGAATGCCCTCCTTTTGCTTCCTCATCTATCATGACATTTGGAATGACAGGCCAAGAAATCTCAGTCATTCTGGTATCTGGCTCTCCCAGCTGGTAGTTCGACCACCCCGTTCAACATCAACCGTGCCCAGCTTTCACTTCCCCTGTAGGTGCCTTGCTCCACTCAGTTCCGTTGAGGAGGCAGGCATTCACCCAGAAATCACCCCAACACCACTGTCAATAACAAACAGGCACTGTTATCAGCAAACAAACAGAGCTCCTACAACATCAGTCCCTTGGTCAAAGCTCCAGGTGCTGCCTTCCCTTTGGGCTTTGACCGATTCCTGCCTGCCATACGTTACTGGCTCCTAGTAGCTATGAAACCAGGTTGCTCCCTGGCCTGTCCTAAGCCCTGAGTTTAGACTTTTAGCTGGCAGTGTCCCTGTAGCTCCTACTTTGAATGACACCCCTATTCTCCAATGGGAGGAGAGCTGGAAGCAGGGTAGAATTTTGTACAAGCTCCCTAGCTAAATAGGCTTCTGGGGGCATTTGGAGTGGCTCTTCCATGCTGCTGATTGTGGAGTGGGGGCCCCATACAAAGAAGAAACTTGTTGGCTTTTACAGTAGCCCCAGGACCTCTAATCCTTTTGGTAGCTTTCTGGTCTGGCCATCCTGTGAAGAGCCTGGATCTCACTCCTTGCCAAGGTAGAAAGTCGCTGGGCTGATCCCTCATCTGCTGTGGATCACACAGTTTGAAATTATTAGCCTTTGTTTCCTGGTTAAATGGGGTCTGGCCCCAATGTCTGCAGCCTGGCAGCAGAACCAAATTGGGCAGTAAGTAAACGAACACAAAAAGTATATCTGTCTGTCTATCTTTGTATAGACAAACACACACACACACACACACACACACTTAGGAAAATTATGATTGTACTGCCTAGAGGCCTCAGAATTTCGCTGGTCTGTAGATTATAATATGAACATTTTAAGAACTGCTTTTTGCTTAACTTAATTAAAGTACACAATTTTTGAGCTATCAATGCTTCTTTAAGTCTGTTGGTCATTTTAGATTGCATATATGTGAGGCAAAATGAGAACAGCCATGCAAGGTCAGATCAGAGGTCCATCTACCCAAGTCTTCTGACCTTGGCCAATGCCAAGTGCCTCAGAGGGAAAGAACAGAACAGGGAAATTATCAAGTGATCCATCCCCCGTCATCCATTCCCCACATCTGGCAATCAGAGGCTAGTGACATACAGAGCATAGGGTTGCATCTCAGACCATTCTGGCTAATAGTCATTAATCAACCTATCTTCCATGAACTTATGTTTTTCTTTTTCGAACCTGTTATTATCTTGGCCTTCACAACAGCCTCTGGCAAATAGTTCCACAGGCTGGCTGTACTCTGTGTAAAGAAATGCTTCCTTTTATGTATTTTAAACCTTCTGCCTATTAATTACATTGGGTGATCCCTAGTTTTTGTGTTTTGAGAGGAATATAAACATTTCTTTACTTAAGTGGTCATGATTACATAAACTGCTGTCATATCCCCCCTTAGTCATCTCATTTCCCACCTGAAAAGTGCATCTTATTACTTCATTCTCATATGGAAGCTGTTCCATACCCCTGATAATTGTGTTGCCCTTTTCTTTACTTTTCCAATTCCAATATATTATATTTGAGATGGCGTGGCCATATCTGCATGTAGTATTCAAGATGTGGGAGTACTATGGAGTTATTTGGAGGCAACATTATATTTATCCCATTCTTGATGCCCGACCTTCTGTTTGCTTTTTTGATTGTTGCTGCAGGATGAGTGAATCTTTTAAGACTACTATCCACAATGACTCCAAGATATTTTTCTTGAATGGTAATAACTAATTTAGGCCCCATTATTTTTGTATGTATAATTGGGATTGTTTTCTACTGAGCATTATTTTGAATTTATCAGCATTGGATTTCATCTGCCATTTTGTGTTGCCTGATCTTTAGATTGTGTATTAATTATATTGATTATTTATGCACTTTCAGTTACCACTTGAAAGGTTGACAGGTCCTTCTCCCAAGATCAGGCCCAGCAGAGGTGAAAGTAAGTGAGTGTACCCAGATGTGCAGCTCCAGCAAAGAGCTGGCTGTGATGCAGCAAAAGCTAGCAGGGAGCTATTTAAAGAACTTGCAGGGACCTGGGTGGCAGTAGGACAATACCTGTAAGACATTTTAAGTTACTTTCACTGTTGAGGCACAGTATTTAAATTATCCTATGACTGGGAATCCTGATGTGCACAGTTGCAACACTCATGTGATAGGAACTCTTGTATATTTACAAATATAGTTTAAAATGTATTTAACACAGTCACAAACATCCCAACTGTATAAGATAGACAGGGGCTATGTCTAGACTACAAGCCTCTTTCGAAAAAGGCTTCTTTGAAAGAATCTTTTGAAAAAGACTCTTTCAAAAGAGAGCATCTAGACTGCAACCACTTCTTTCAAAAGAGCGAGCTGCTTTTTTGAAAGACAGCACCCAGGCAGTCTGGATGCTCTCTTTCAAAAAAGCCGTTTGCATTCAAGAACGCTTTTTTTTTTTTTTTTGAAAGAGCACTTTCGAAAAAAGGCGTTCTTCCTCGTAAAATGAGGTTTACCGTGGTAAAAAACACTGCCACATTCTTTCGATTTAATTTTGAAAGAACGCAGTGGCAGTCTAGATGCAGGGGAAGTTTTTTCGAAAAAAAAAAGGCCTTTATTTATTTATTTTTAACTCTGTAGTCTAGACACACTCAGGGAGTGTATATCTGTGTTTTCATATACTCAGACCATTCCTTCTAGAACACCCTAGAAGTGTTATCCATCATTTTCCTCATCGCCATCAACTTCTCCATCCTCACCAAAGGCCATCATTCTGGCACCTCCCAAGGATTCCATCTCCTCTTCCTACCACCCCATGGCTGAGATGCCACTTTTATAATATATGTTAGGTTAATGTTATGTTTGATGTATATTCAGTAAGGGATGCTTCCTTTTCTCTGCAGTTGCATTTCTTCACCTTACTAATGGTGAAGTGTCTTTTTCCTGTAGGTCAGTGTCAGGAGGCACTCCCGTGACCACCTCCCCCCACCATGCCTCAGTGCCCCTAATCGACTGTCTTCACTCGGTCCAATGCTGGGCTGCCTACAGTCTGTCTCGGGTGCTCATCACCGGCATAACCATCACTCTTCCCCGCTTCAGCCTTGCCCTTCTAGTTCCCACTTATGGTGCCGCCACGGCACCCGCGATACGCATACGACAAGGGGTATCGCGAAAGTGAGAAGGGGGGTCCCGGACCCGCCCTCGCTCATGGGCCCCAGCCCAGGGCCCTAAGTACCCAGATCTGTGAAAGGTCTGGTCCGATCAGTGGGGCGAGCTGCCTAAACGCACTGACCCGCCAACCACACCGTGTTCTGCCCTGGGCTACTTCCCTTCCCCCAAAAAGCTCCTCCGCCACGGCACCCACAGGGGGGTCCCGGACCCGCCCTCGCTCATGGGCCCCAGCCCAGGGCCCTAAGTACCCAGATCTGTGAAAGGTCTGGTCCGATCAGTGGGGCGAGCTGCCTAAACGCACTGACCCGCCAACCACACCGTGTTCTGCCCTGGGCTACTTCCCTTCCCCCAAAAAGCTCCTCCGCCACGGCACCCACATTCCCCTTTGTGGACAGGATTGCTGGTGGAGGCGCAATGGTTCCTGGTGATGACGGGCTGTTTGCTCTCAGTTTTGGGGCTTCCGCTCCGGCTCGGGCTTTCTTCCCGGGTTCGGTCCTCCTCTGGTCTGGGCCGGCGTGCCTTTTTGAATGGCCGCCACCGCCCTGATCATCCTATCACGGGCGGAGGCGGGAGCCCAGTGCTTTCCCAGCCGCGGATAAGGGACGGGATGAGGACGCCCCGTCACAGTCGGTTTATCATTAATCTGAACGTATTGTCATATACTTTAGTTTGTTACCATGGTCCCTTTTGTAGTTATGTTTCACATTTATTATTTCTGTCCTACCTGGTTATTCGGTCTGGTCTTAACCACTTATCTTGGGTTCCTCCCAGTTGTGATGCACCTGTTAAACGCGGATAAGGGACGGGATGAGGACGCCCCGTCACAGTCGGTTTATCATTAATCTGAACGTATTGTCATATACTTTAGTTTGTTACCATGGTCCCTTTTGTAGTTATGTTTCACATTTATTATTTCTGTCCTACCTGGTTATTCGGTCTGGTCTTAACCACTTATCTTGGGTTCCTCCCAGTTGTGATGCACCTGTTAAATTGAGGGCATCCATGGAAGCCCCTGAAAGTTGCTTTATCTAGGTGAAAAGTCCTGAATATATGCATATTTACTTTGCTATCTAGGTGAAAGGTCCCAGCCATGTGCATGCTAGCTTTGCCTTAGCTTAATTTACAGGATGTGTTCTGTAGGTCCCTTGCATTCGAGCCAAACTTCCAAGCTACTTTAATATAAACCCATTGTAACCTATTATAATCAAAACCATAAAGAAATAATACATATATAAGAATATATCTATAGGCAAACAAGCAAGTTAGTCCTATAGGTTTTAGTTTCCCAGTTACATCCTTTTGTGAGAGGTCTCTTTATCTTGCAAATGCTTACTCCCAAACATAGCTCTTATTACTCTGAATAATCCTGTTAAAGTTAACAGCTATGGCAGCAATGCACTTAAAATAATTGTTTGCAGGATGACTGAGCCTTAAAATTCTATTGTACTGTTAGGAGAAAAAAAAATCTGACATATCCTGTAATTAGAGTAAATGGGGGCGAGGGAGAGAGAGACAGACAGACAGAGAATTGTGTATTTGCTCGTAATCATCACAAAGAACTGTTAAAACAAAGTGGATAAACTATAAGAATCCTAAATACAAATAGTGATTCTATGTAGCAAGTTTATGTAAAATCACTGACCTTGATCTGAGGATAGACCTCTTTAATGCAATCAATACAGGTGCAATCCGATAAGAACGTTCTACTGTTTTATTAAAGTGCATCTAATTCAAAACTCAATAACTCTCACAAATCCTTAATCAGAGAAGACATCCTGGGAGGTATTTAGGTGAGTGATCTTATAACTCTTACTCTCTCCTTGTTAGGATGGCATTTTACAAATATACACATCTGTTTCTTCTTTGCCCTCTCTGTAGTAATTCTCTCTCTTTATCTTCCTGGTTTTGTTGACTTTAATGTGTTTAGCAAGCCCTTTGCATTTAGAGAGGCTGAGGCAAGTGTCAGCCTTTGCTCACACCATCCCCAAGCACAGACAAGCCTGTAAAGAACAGGTCTATTTTCCTTAATGGCATTGCGGGGCCTACAGACTCATGCCCGACAGATGAGTAGTGCGTTGTAGAAGGAACTCCATTTATACTTCCCTTCTCACCCAGGGTGATCAGGGTTCAATACAAATAATCTCTCCATGCGTAGCAGTATGCGACAGTTTAAATCAAATGAAAGCTGAAAGCAATTATTGTGTTTCTGGAAATGATTTTAAATCAAAATGATACATATTGAATAAGACAAAATAAGCACAAGGTGGAGAGCTCCACCTGCACTGTTTACTCTGAGGTAATTATTATCCTTTCCAAGTGATCCTCAGCATGCACCACGATAATGTAAAAGAAATTGCAGCTTGGAACAGTTGAACTGAGTGTTCATTTATAGTCACTGATGTTCACATCAGGCAGATTGAGGTTATTAGGTCTTCAGTTTAAGTGCAAACTACTGCAGATGGTTAGCTATATGTATGGCTTACGGTTTTAGCCCATAAAACACTCAGTCTTTTGGGGTACCGATCATATTTTTAAAAAAATCTAATTGGTTATTAGTTTAATCTCTAAATTAAAGGTCACATACGGTCACAGGGACCTAGGCAGCTCCATGGTCACTATCACAACTTCGGGACTGCTGTAGCCTCCACACCGGCTGTACCCATGCCTGGTGTTTGTCCAGGAGAGCCTTCCTTCCTTCTCCCCATTTTTTATTAGCTGTAGAAGGGATCCAGGCCAGGAAATTCAGGTTCCAATTCCACCCTATCCATCTCCAAAACCGAAGGAGGGGGGAACATGTGGGGAAGGTTGTTAGGACCCTAGCAGGTTATCTGAGAACTCAGGAACCTTCATCATCACCAAGTCCATCATCCAGTAACTCCATTAGTCATAGTCTTGTCTTATTCATTATGTGAACTAACCAATGGAAGCAAGCATGATGGAGTCAGCACCTGCAGCACCAAACAGATAGGTCCTTCAGCTAGAGCTGAAGAACTTACAGGGAAAGTAGGGAACATGATAGTTTAGCTTTAGACTATCTGATAATCTTTACTGGGAGCATTTGTACTCTAAGGCCACATCTTCACTTACTGTACCAGAGATCGATCTTCTGGCATTCAATTTAGTGGGTTTAGTTTAAGACCCACTACATCGAATGCTGAGAGTGGCTATGGTCAGCACCAGTATTCCTCGCACTTGTGAGGAGTAAGGGAAGCTGATCAGAGCATTTGCTCCCACCTGCCTCTCTCTGTGAAGACAGCACCAAACTCAGCTTAAGGTAGGCCGACTCTACTATGTATTTATGTAGCTGGAGTTGCATACCTTAACCTGACCCTCCAGGCCTAGTGTGAACCTGGCATAAGTTCTAGTTAAGGCGTTTGTCTAGCTGCAAGACAGCTCTACCTACCAAGCTAGCTCAAGACCAATTATTTAGCTAAGGAGAAGTTGCCCTATTAAATGCTCAACATATTTACTTTAAACGCTAAAAAGCCATTTGGTGTCCTAATTTAAAGAATTGGGTGTCCAACTGTAGCCCAGTGGGGCTCAGGAAGGGGCTCCTCCTCTTTGGGGTCAGTGGGTGGCCACTCCACCCCACTCCGTCAATGCAGAGTCTATAATAAAAAGTCCTCTTGCGCAAAAAGCATCAGTAGAGAATATGCAAATGACAGTGTGACAAATGCTAATGAGCGCTTCATTAGCATACTCGCTGCCGGCAAAAGCCTGCACTATAGACACAGCCTTAATGTTTTCATATCAAGTCTAGATGCTCTACTGAAGTGGTTCTCAAACTTTTTGGGCTCTGGACCCCTTTACATGAGTAAAAATGTATGTGGAGCCCCAGTGGTCCACTGATTGTATGTGTTGTCAGGGGCGGCCTGAAGTGGGCTGCAGCAGCTGGCACCCAAGGCAGAACGTGCGATCGGTGCCCCTGCCTGCATGGCCATAAATGCCGTGACGTCACCATCGGTCGCCCTGGGCGTCCTGTTGAAGGCAGCGCCCTAGACAATGGCCAAGTTGGCCTATACTCACGGGCTGCCCCTGTGTGTTGTACCTATCGATGTTTCCAGTTTGTCAACCTCACAGAGCCCCTGGAGAAACACTGCTCTACTGGAAGATATACTTTAGCTTAAACACAAGTTATTGAGCTCAATAAAGGAGTAACTGGATGAAATTCTATGGCCTGTGTTATACAGGAAGTCAGACTAGAAGATCTAATGGTCCCTTCTGGCCTTAAACACTATATATCTGTGAAGACTCTGCATGGACTGTATATTTGCAAATAAAAATGAATTAGGAAAATTTAGCAATATAGGTCCTGAATCTGATTTTACTAGTGTGCTAAGAGCATAAATGAGGTTGCACTGAAGTACAATATATGAAGTATAAAGCTCTCTGAGTAAATTCTTTTCATGGTCACCCTCTTCTCCATACCGCTCATGGGCCATTCTTCTCCTTGAGGTCAGAATGATACTTATGGCAATCTAGTACTATGCAATCCAGTCTTCAGCGGAAAAAAATCTGTTGTCTTTAGTGATTTCAAAGAACTCAGATTTAAATCACTGAGGCTATGTCTACATTGCAGTGTACCTACCGAGGCTAGGTCTACATTGCGAACCACAATTTGCATAGCTTTTTCCACAGCTTTTTTTGGAGGAGACTTTTTTGACATTTGGCCCATCTACACTGGGCCAAATGTCAGGGAAAAAAAAACCTTTTCCAACCATCCCTTCTTCCTCCCTCGTTTGCAAGGATGCTGAGAAAGCAGCTCTGTTCTTCTGAAAAAAAAATTCAGAAGAGCAGATGCGTTCCCTGGTATCCTGGAAAAACTCTGCAGTGTAGACATAGCCTGAGCCATGACTAAAACGCAGATCCCTCTGGGGTGGAAGAAAGCAATTGTATAGTAGTGTCCATGGTTCTAGACAGCAGTTTAGGATAGGTAGGGAAAAGTACCATTTTCAAATTGCAGTAGACTGAAAGATTATTTGGGAAGGGAGAACATCATTCCGGATGCTTTATTTTGTCCACAACTACATACAACAGTTTTATATTAATCTAATATGGCCATGGTCTGTGAGCAGGTTCTGCGTTTATGCCAGACTGGTCTGACTTTAAAGAATTCCCACCCCGGCTGGAAAATAAGGATACCAGAAATCTAATTAAAAATGGGAGTTTGAGATACACAACAAGACTTTCAACTCCTCTGGCATTTAATGGAATTTGCTGTGGTGCTAAAATAGTATTTCACCCCTTGTCATTTTGACATGAAAAACATTAGAGAATATTTGATTTTGCTGTGGAACAAATTATGGTAATAATGAGTCTTTGAGAGAAAAAATGTGCACAAACTGGTACAATCTCATTTAAAATGTGCATGTTAAAATAAAGCATATACATGAGGAGATGACTGTTATTTAATCAACAGATTTTTATTTTTGAGATGTATGCCCTTTCAGTGTTGTGTTTGACAATTCTTTTTAACATTAGCTTAAACTGCTATCGCAGGCACTATCAGTCTATATATATTATGGGAATTAGGAACATGTGAACAGTCAGACTGCAATTCCTGCTAGATAATCAAGAATTCAAACTAGTGCCAGAGCTCATTGGGCAGATAACTTCTCCCTGGATTTGCTGTTAATTCTCAGAATTGACTGACTGGATGAGGGATTGGTGATCTCTATCTAAACTACATACAGGCAAATAACTGCTTTGTTTGGAAGATCTGCTAGATTTTTTTAAAATGTACGTTGATTTAATTTTATACAATCATTCATTGCTAAAGATTAAATTCTGCCCCAGGTTGTATGAAGGGTCTGTAGTGATTTGGCCCCAAAATACATATTTCATGATTAGATTAGTAACGTACCACTGGTCATATGAGTACTGCTGCTTCATCCATTTTATAAATAAGAGATGTGCTCTGTTGCAAGCTTTTAATTCAGGCCTAGATGGGAAAAGCTGATGAGAAAGAGGCAAGAACTCATGGTCTAGACTGACCCAGGAATTCCCATAATCCAGTTCTGACCACGAACCTTTCTGTGACCTTGGGTAAGACATTTAACTTCTCTGCTTCCATTTCTCTGCTGGTAAAGTGGAAATAATCCTACGTACCTTACAGGAGTGTTGTGAGATGTCTCTAGAAGGCCAGATTAAGAGATGACAGGACATGTTACATCTCTCACTGAAATTAACAGAAAATTCCTTGATGATGTCAGTGGGGTGGAATCAGACCCTTACTGCTGTGAGGTGTGCATTACACTTCCTTGCATCACCCCACTCCTTTTGCTTCAGCAAAGCATCACTGGGAGGGAATGGAGGTCATTTCACCCTCACTGTCTTCCCTCAGTTTTTTGCTGGCTATACCAGGTTTTGTTTAAGGCCAGAACTTCATAAGAGGCTGCTGAAGGAATGAATTCAATCAGTGCACCCCTGCTCCTTAGGCCAGAATCCTTTTTCCGCTATCGCTGCCCACTTTTTGGACTCTGCTAGTCCCTATATATTCCCCTTCCACTCCAGTGCAAGTGAGGTAGCAGCCCTTTCTGCAGCTATAAACTTCCCCTTGTCAGCCTTTCTAATTCTTGGGTTCTCCACTAGGATTCACCTTCATAAAACCTAGGGTGAATTCATCCCAGCCTTTGTGAAGCACTAGATCAATCCTAAGCATGATCATTATTCATCACTTGCTGATTGTGGATAATAATTATTGAAGGTTGTACTTAAGGAAAAATGATTTTGATTAGTGTAAAACAGTAACAACAAATCATATATGCAGTGTTGTTGTAGATAAGGATATTGGAGACACAAGATGGG